GCAGCTCCTGGACAAGCAGCACCGCTGCTCTCCCAGCTCAAGTTCCCCTTCTAGGCGCCGCACGTGCTGCATTCTCCAGCCCCGAGGCGAACCCTGGCCCTGCCCTGCTCAGTCCCCGCCAACTGCTCCTCCCGCCTGCTCCAGAGAGAACACCCAGCACCGGCACAGGCGGGGAAGACAGAGGGGCAGGGTGCATGCAGAAGCATTCCGAGCGGGTCTTTCAAAGCCAGATCAAGAAATAGAACACACATGTCTTAGTTGCTTTCCTGCTTCTTAGAAAACTCCATGACAAAGGCAACTTATATAAGAAAACATTTAATTCTGGACCCATGGTTTCAGAGGGTGAGGCCATGACCATTGTCTTAGTCAGGGTTCTATTGCTGTGAAGAGACACTATGACCACAGTGACTCTTGGAAAGGGAAACATCTGATTGAGGTAACAGCTTACATCTTCAGAGGTTCAGTCCATTTTCATCACAGTGGGGAGCATGTCAGTGTGCAGGCAGACATAGTGCTGGCTATATCCTACAGGCAACAGGAAGTCACCTGAGACACTGGACAGTATCCTTAACATAGGAAACCTCAAAGCCTGCCCCCACAGTGACACACTTCCTCCAGAAAAAGCCACATCTCCTATTAGTGCCACTCCCTATGAGATTATTCCAATTACATTCAAACCACCACAGCCATCATGGGGACCACGGCAGCAGGCAGGCAGGCATGGTGCTGGAGCAGCAGCTGAGAGCTCACCTCCTCACCAGGGTGAGGCAGGGAGAGCTAACTGGGAATGGTGTGGGAATTGAAAACTCAAGCCACACTCCTCACCCTCCTCGCCCTCAGTGGTACAACTCCTCCCTCTAATACAGCTACACCTCCTAATCCTTCCTCAAACATTTCAACCACCTGGGGACCACATATTCAAATATATGAGCCTATGAGGGTCATTCTTATTCACACTACCACAAATGCCCCTTCTAGTTCCTTTACTAAAGGCTCCTTAGTTCCTTTTCTTTCCTATTTTAATAGTAGGCAGAGTGGGTGTCATGAGATCGTTGTCTTCAAGACAGCAAATGCCTAAAAGAGCTTCTCTGCCACCTGGGTATGCAAATGAGAATAACCAAATCCTCAGAAAGTGCTAATATCTGTCTCCTAATGGTGTCTTCTTAGGAGATCCAAATGAACAGAGAGTGTGATGACCTCACCAACACAGTGAACGCAATTCTTCCAGGACTTTGTATAAAGAATAACACTTCCAGAAGAAAAGACTGGCCACCAGTCTCCACACCATCCCAACTGGCATCTGCTCCAACTGACTCTGGTCTCGTCTCTAGAATGCCACTCTAATGTCCACACCACTGCCCATTCAATATACAGCATGCTCTACCGCATCTGCCATAATCTGGGCTTCATTTGCTATGGATCATTCATCCAATCAAAAAACCTCCCATGAACAACATGGACACAAGGACAATGACATCTCTGTCATCCAGGTGTTCATGTTCTGGTGATCCTGTTAGACAAACTATAAGGAGAGGTACAAATGAAATTCCCAAGCTATTGCAAGAAGGCAAACAGTCAAAACCCATTGGAAGGCAACTGTTCATCACGCTCCAAACAGTAAAATCACCCATGTGCTTCAGTCTAGCCAACTGACTAATCTGTGCCTCAGAAATAACCTGAGCTGCATAAAAAACTACTGCTGGCTGGCCAGGTGGTGTAACTCATTAGTGTTTGCTTAGCATACAGAAAACCCTGGCTTTGATTCCACAGCACCAGATGAAGAAGCACAAACCCGCATGCCTGCAATTTGAGCACTCTAGAAGTATAGGCAGGAGGAACAGAAGTTCAAGGCCATCCTCCACAACCTAGTCAAGTTTGAGACCAGCTTGGGCTACAGAAGACCCTGTCTCAAAAAAGAAAAGTAAAAAGGCTATCTGTGGAGCTGGTGGCACATGCCTGTAATTCTGACCTCTGGAGATTGAGTTAGAGGCATAGTGACTTAAGACCAGACTGGGGTACATAGCACAAACCTGCATAAAAGAAGCACTGATGACATTCACTAAAGCCAGCTTTTTGTAGTAATGAAAGCTGGAAACAAGTGAAATGCCCGGTAACTGAGACCTGGAACAATGCTAATGTTCCATCATAATTCATGATGATAAACATCATTAATGCGGGGGGTGGGAATGTCAGGATCACATCGTTTTCTGCTAGTTCCCCAAAAAGTCAATTAGAATTACCATCCATTGAAATATGAATGTTTTCAAGAGAAATGATAACACATCATACAAACAACTTGAGAATGGAAGCCAAGACAATAACACAGAAGGTGAAGATTCTTGCTACCAAGTATGAAGACCAGACCCCACATGGTGGAAGGAAAGAATGGGCCCCACAAGTTGTCCTCTGACCTCCACACATATGATGTGGCGTGTGTGACCCTCTGCACACATAAATAAATAAATGTGATGAAAATAATTTAAAAACTACCTGACAACTATTCTTAGAAGCATCTTTCATAATATCCAGAAGGTCCAAAAGATAACAGTGGATAAATACAATTGGCATATACACACAGGGCAATACTGTTTGGCCACAAAGGATAAACGTTGGGGTGGTTAGTGTTATAAAGTTGATTACGATGATTTTTATACAACTGTAAATATATTAGAAGCCATGTAGTAAATGCATCACTTTGAGAGAATGACTAAATTATGTCACAATAATGTTGCTTTTGAAGGAAAACCATCAGTTCCTACATGGATGCAACTTTAAACATGCTATGGGATGTTAGTTAAAGATCATGTATTGTAGGATTCTCTTTCTGTGAATTGTCCAGATTAGACCAATCCACATACATAGTAGAATCTAGGGTTTTAGAGAATCCAGGATTGACAGCTACAGGTTATGGGTTTCTGTTTGTTACTTTTTTTATTATTATGTATACAACATTCTTCTTCCATGTATATCTGCACACCAGAAGAGGGCACCAGATCTCATAAAGGATGGTTGTGAGCCACCATGTGGTTGCTGGGAATTGAACTCAGGACCTCTAGAAGAGCAGTCAGTGCTCTTAACCTCTGAGCCATCTCTCCAGCCCTCTGTTTGTTACTTTTTTATCTATGTGATAAATCACCATGACCAAGGCAATTTATAAAAGAAAGTGTTTGGGGCCGGAGAGATGGCTCAGCAGCTAAGAGCACTGGATGTTCTTCCAGAAGACAAGGATTCAATTCCCACCACCCATATGGCAGCTCACAACTATCTCTAACTCCAGTTCCAGAAGACCCAACACCCTCCTCTGGCCCTCAAGGGTCATTGCATGTATGTGGTACACAGACATACAGGCATGCAAAATACCTATACACATAAAAAATTTCAAAAGTAATGAAAATAAAGAAAAACGTTTAATTTGGTTTCTAGTTCCAGAGGGTTGGAGTCCATGATGACCGTATAAAGGAAGAGCTGAAAGTTCACATCTGATCCACAACCACAGGCAGCGAGAGCACTGGGAATTGTAGGAGTCTTTTGACACCTTAAAGCCTGCCCCAGTGACACACATTCCCCAAGGTCACAGGTCCTAATCCTGTGTTAGGGTTCTCTAAAGGAACAGACTGATAGACATATATTTATACGTATAAGATTATTTACAGTGGTTTACAGGCTACAGTCCAACTAGTCCAACAAAGGCTGATGGAGAGGGCAAGGCAGAACCAGTAGTTTGTTCAGTACATAAGACCAGATGTCTTGGCTGTCCCATCTGGTACTGGAGTTCCAGGGAAGTCCTAGACAGCTTCCTGTCTCCAATCTATAGTGGAACCCCAAAGAAGTCAATTCTAACCACAACAAATGCCTCAGGAATGGGATAGATGACCTTGCCAGTGAGAGCATGGTCAAGCAGGCAAAAAAGCAAGCACATACGCCTTCCCATCCTTTTCTGTGGGGTGCTCCACATTCACAGTAGGGGTGCTCCACGTTCACAGTAGATCTTCCCACCTCAAATGATCCAATAAAGGAAAACCTCCTCCTGGTTGTGCCCAGCTGCTTGGGTTTTAGTTAATTCCAGATATACTCAAGATATATCAACCAAGACTTAGCCATCACAAGTCCACTCCTTGCCAACTTGACACACAATCAATCTCATGCCATACTCAGTTTCCAAATGAAAACAAAATTGTGCCTAACATGCTATAACTATCCCATGTATAGCCACAAATGCATTATGTATTTTAGAATAGGTGGCAATGTTCATTGAGGGATCATCTCTTAGTGTTTTATAACTTAGTGTTTTATAAATATGATAGCATCTCAATTGACATTACATTGCCTGATAAATTAACTAAAGAAAAACACAAATATCCATAAAACTCATGTGGTGATATATTATTTATGTTCCCTTTTAAAAGGACCCTGCCCACATCCCATCCCCCCCCTCTCTTTCTGTTCCTCTCTCTCTCTTTCCTCTCTCCTGCTGCTCCTGTCCCTGGAGGCTGGTCTCCCCCTCCTCTTTCCCCTTTTTATGATCCCTTTCCCTAATAAAAACCCATCTGTTTGAAATCTGTCTCATAGCGTGTTTCTCTCACGTGCTACTTTTCTTAAATTACAACACAGTGTAGTCAATCTGCCACCAGATTGCTGGCTGGTCATTATTGGGAATGGTGCCATATTTGGGACTGTGTTGATCTCTGGCAGATCTGGCATTCAGCAGCATCTGTATCCAGGTCAGCCTTGATGAGTGGAAGCCCATGCATAACCCCCATCTCTGCCACCATGACCACTTTGTTTGTGGGCCCATTGGCCAATGGCCGGGATGGTTGGGGAAAGAGACTGACTGTCCACAGAATGGGTCATCTTACCTACTTGATTATTAAACTCCTTCTCAGCTGAAGTCACCTTTTGATGATCACTGACATGGGACACAAGTATCTTCACATTCTTCACCCATTTGGAGAGATCAAGCTACATACTTCTCCAAAAATCTTCCTCACTAATTTTCCAGTTATGCTCTTTCCAAGGCCCTGACCAGCCAGCCAGTCTGTAGGCTACAGCCCATGAATTAGTGAACAATCACACATCTGGCCATTTCTCCTTCCAAACAAACTGTATGACCATGTGTACTGCCCAAAGTTTTGCCCACTATGAAGATTTCCCTTTGCTGGCGTCTTTCAGGGTTATCTCAGAAAGGGGTTGTAATGCTGCAGCTGTACCACTTTGGGTGGTACTTACATAGTGTTCAGAACCATCAGTAAACAGGGCCCTAGTCTCCTCTCCCTCAGACAACCCATGAGGCTACGGTGCATGCTCAGTAGCAGAGAACATTGTAACAGGAGTTGAAACCATAGGCATTTGGACAACTTCATCAAGTAACTTGCTTGTGTCTTCAGGACCTGCTTGGGACCAATCGTGTATATACCAAGTCTATTCAATATCGGACTGCTGCTGTGCATGTCCTCCTATATGGCTTGATGGGTCCCAAAATACCCAGATCCTAATGAGAAGCTCAGGTCACATGGTAGCCCATTGTAAAGTGTTCAGATTCCACTAAGGCCCAATAGCCGGCCAAGAGCTGTCACTCAAAGGGAGAGTAGTTGTCTGCGGGTGATAGTAGAGCCTTGCTCCAAAATTTCAAAGATCTCTTCTGTGATTCACCTATAGGGCCTGCCAAAGGCTACAAACAGCATCCCTATCTGCCACTGACACCTCAAGTACCACCATAGGGTCTGTTGGATCATATGGTCCAAGTAGTAGAGAAGCCTGCATAGCAGTCTGCACCCATTGAAAAGCCTTCTGTCCCAGCTCCATTCAAAAGCTAGCAGCTTTCTGAGTCACTTGGTTTATGGACCAGAGTGACACACCCAAGTGAGGAATGTGCTGTGTCCAGAAATGGACCACTAAACATTGTGTTTCTTTCTTGGTGGTGGGAGGGGCCAGGTGTAATAACTTTTCCTTCACCTTAGAATATCCCAGCATGCCCTACACCACTGGACTCCTAAGAATTTCACTGAGGGAGAGGTCCTTGAAATTTGTTTGGATAAGCTGGGCAGTGGTGGTGCACATCTTTAATCCCAGCACTTGAGAGGCAGAGGCAGGCAGATCTCAGTGAGTTTGAGGCCAACATGGTCTACAAAATGAGTTCTAGGACAGCCAGGATTGTTACACAGAGAAACCTTGTCTTGAAAAACAACTTTAAAAGAAATTTGGTTGGATTTATTTGCCATCCTCTGATATGCATATTTGTTACCAACAAGTCCAAAGTTGCTCCCTCCTGTTCATCGGGTCCAATCAGCATAATGCCATCAGTATAGTGGACCAATGTGATATTGTGGAAGAGACAATCAAGATGT